TCAAAAGATTTTCCCTTGGGCCAATGGGGCTTTTTCTTTCTATGCTGTGTGAAAGCTGTGGTCTGGATGCTGACTTTTTTGGGGGTTCTCACCCTACCACCTGAAGGCACCCAGGCTGGGCAAAGAGGGCATGGCAGGGAAAAGGAGGGGGAAAAAATGTGTGAAGTGCCTCCACACCTCCTTTCACAAATTTCCAAATGTGGTTTTCCTGCTTTTAGCTCAGGTTCACTTTGCTGGTCTATCCCTAGTCCCACCCTCAGATTTCCACCTGGATGGAATGGCTTCAGAGGGAGTCCTGTGCCAATTTCTAAAACACAATTTTTTCATTTATACTGTGATTTTTCTGCTTGAAGTTTTGGAAACTGACGGCCAGACCTTTATGGTAGATCCAGAGTGCTGGTGTAGTGAGAGCTGCATCCCTGGGTTTTCAGCCCCTCCCTCATGGAGCCTACCTGACTGTTCTGCCGCAGCCAACCGGAAGTTGGAATCTTGCTCTTTGATTTCTTGACTGTTGTTTTCACAGGCATGGGTTATAGATCCAAATAGAACTAAATCATTGGCAATGTCAATATTATCTCTATTTATTGTAATGCTGTTTATTTGTCCAGTTGTGAAAACTTTGGTTTTATTATGTTGAAACAGTACATTCTGATAGCTGTAGTCTTTGATTCTCATTACTAAAAGCTTCAATTCTTCCCTTTCAGCAAGCAATGTTGCTAATCAGTCCTAACATCTCATTTTTCATAGAGTCCAGCTTCTTGGAATATCTGCTCAACATATAGATTGATTAAGTATGGTGAAAGTATACAACCCTTTCCTAACTTTAAACCATGCTGTATTCCCTAGTTCTTTTTGAACAACTGCCTCTTAACCTATCCCCAGTATCAGTATGAAGGAAATAATTATAATAGAATTCCCATTATTCACAAATTTATCCATAATTTGTTATGATCCATACAGTAAAAAGTTTCCTGATATTCTCTGCTTTCAGTCAATAGCCATCTGACATAAGCATTGTTATCATTCTTCTGAGTCTGGCTTGAATTCCTGGAATTTCCTTGTTGATTTATTGCTGCAACCATTTAAAAATTATTTCAGGCAATAATCTGTTGGCAAATATTAATATTAATGATGTTATTGTTGTTAAGTGCTGCCAAGTTGGTTTGAACCCATAGCAACCCTGTATAGGGTTTCCAAAGAGCAGCTGGTGAGCTTGAACTGCCAACCTTGCAATTCAAATGGCTTTGTAATCTGGCACGTTAACCCATGACACCATACCAGGACTCCAATATCATTGATTTGCTGTTGTTGTTAAGTGCCATGGAGTCAGTTCCGACTCATAATGACCCTGTACGGGGTTTCCGAGGCTATAAATCTTTACAGGAGCAGAAAGCCTCATCTTTCTCCCACGGAACAGCTGGTAGTTTCGAACTGCTGACCTTGCGGTTCCCAGCCCAATTCGTAACCACTACGCTACCAGAGTTTATACAATTATATTTCTTTGTAATGTGCACAGATATGGATTTTTTTTCCAGTTGGTTGGCCAGGTAGCTGTCTTCCAAATATCTTGGTATAGATCAGTAAGCACTCCGAGCATCATATACCTTGGTTGAAACATTTCAATGGATATTTCATCAATTCCTGAGGTTTTGTCCTCACAATGCTTTCAGTGCACCTTGGTTTTCTTCCTTCAATAAAATCAGTTTTGACAAGTTTTGGCAAGCTTGCTGTTGTTGTTATTAAGTGTTGTCAAGTCGGTTCTGACTTTTAATGACCCTGCTTAGGTTTTCCAAGGATGTAAATATTTGCAGGAGTAAAAAGTCTAATTTTTCTCCTGTGGAGTGGCTAATGGGGTGGAACTGCTGACCTTGTGGTTCACAATCCAATGCTTTTTGCTACAGAGTCACCATCCTGCCTTGACAAGCTTAGGGCCTATTGTGTGTGCAGCTCTGAGAGCCAATTTTTGAAAAGAAGAAGAAACAAAACAACACTCTGAGAACAGATGAATGAGGCTGTCCTTCACATGAACAACAGAGAAAAGAACTACACAGAGGCCACTGCTCAAAGGGAAACTGCCACTGGTCTCCACTGTGGGTGTGGGTGGTAGAAGTAGAGGTGATCTTTCACCACTGGATGGTGCCTGGAGCTTAAACGGATATCAAAGCAATCTCCACTGTGCCTTCTGGAACTTTAGGCCCCAGGGAGGAGTACCTCAGCAGTTCAAGATCAGAGGGTATCTAGAGCTGTTGAAGCAGCAACCTGCCTGGAAGTTGAAGACCAGAAGTTACTCGTGCCAACCAAAGCAGGTTCAACCCAGGCAATGTTGGGAAACTATTAGTATGTGTTTTAGCAGAGTTCCCACTAATGTTCTATACAAAGTGTTACTTTCAATGATGATAGCACCTTGAGACTCACAAGGATTCTGTTGTTAGCCCTACTTTGATAATGAGGAAACATATATATTGTTGGTGTTCAGTGCTGTCAAGACAATTCTGACCCATAGGGACACCGTATAGAGTTTCCAAGGAGCAGCTGGTGAGCTTAAACACCAACCTTGTAGTTCAAATGTTGTTGTGCCTTGGAAACCCTATACAAGGTCGCTATGGGTCAGAATCGACATGATGGCACTTAACAACAACATCTACTCCCCTCTAGAGATTTGATCAAATTCTAAGTCTTTGAACCTTATTTTAGTTATGTGTTAGCTAGAAATCATCACACCCTCAACCCAGGACTGTAGTAGGGTTAAATGTTACCAACTAAGCAAAAGTATTTTGTTAAGTTAGTATTGTGAATGTTTCACGGGATCCTCCTATAAAATATTATCAATTATTATCAATCTTGGGAGGCAATTATTCTACAACACTCTAACTAAGCAGTAGATTCAATGATGGAGACTGGTGTTCAACACAATCATGGGGGCATTTGGGTAGCTCTTATGGGGCACTTAGTTACTTCTTAAGTAATACCATATGGACCACCTCCATACCGTTCCATACTGTGCCCTAGAAACTGAGGGAAAGTGGGTACACATGAAGGGTCTTAGTCTCTTCACTGAACTGTAACTATTTCTCTTACTACAATGGATCTTTGATCACAGAACTCTTCTCTCATTCTCCACTACCTTAATTGGTAATAATCTTTGAAACTTCTTTTGAACAGATGCCTCTCCTGAACTGCCAATTCCTAAAGGGTTACCGGGAACAGCGTTTGGCCCACTTGGTCTTGAGTTTTATTACCATGGGATATGTCTGGCAAGAAGGAGAGACACAGCCTGCAAGGGTAAGGGTCTAATAATTATCTGGTATGGTGTTGCGGGATAATGAATTCGATCACAAGGTCAGTTTGAACCACAAGTTTAGAAGTTCAAATACACGAGCTGCTCCTTGAAACCTCTATAAAGAGTCTCTGTGAGTTGGATCTGACTCCAAGATACTTAAAAATAACAACATGGCATCTGGTGGGCCTCTTACACTTGGAATATGCTTTCTTCTGGGTACTATACTGCTTTCCTGGAAAAAAGGGGGCCATTGTTTTCTCCAGCTGTCAATTATAACAAGAGCCAATGAAAACAATCTTTCACGTATTTGTTGTTGTTTTAAGTGCTGTCAAGTTGGTTCTGACCCATAGCAACCCTTTATAGGGTTTCCAAGGAGCAGCTGGTGAGCTTGAACTGCCAACCTTGCAGTTCAAGCAGCTGTGCAGTCTGGTGCATTACCCAACAGTGCCCTGTTAAATGAAAGATTCTTCTTACAGATTAGGAGGCTAATTTTATTTGAAACTGGCTGCCCTTTTCCTCTATTATTATATTTTAAATGTTTTCTCTGGCATCCTCTTCCAAGAATGTTTGGAGAGCTACATTTAAACAAAACAAATAAAAATTAAAAAAAAAAAAACCCTTAATGATAGCTTACATTTTATAGCATTATGTAGTCCTATATATATCAACTCTCTCAATCAGTCATGGTCACATAAAGGAATAAGATTACATTGTGTACATTTTACAGATAACCAAAAACTAAAGAAGTTAAATGATTTGTCTTGAACCTGTAGGAAGGTAGTGGAAGAGTCAAGATAAGAACTCAGTTTTCTGGCTTCACTAGTATTTCTTTTCCTAAAGAAGGAACACAATGGCATTTAAAGCACCAGTCCATTTTTTTTTTTTAAATAGATTGCTTTCTGCCAAGCCAGTTAATGCTCTGTCTCTTAATATTAATCTAAATCTCTTGTGAATCGTTGTATAATTTCTTGCTGTTTCAACCTAATCCATCCCATGGGACTTGAAATCCCAGAATTTTACTCTTCATAGTTTAAATTACTTTTTTTTCATTTCTTATAAATGTAACATTCCCCTTGTTATATTACTCCACAGTACTTTGTGAGTGAATGCCCTGCCCATTTTGTTTGCTTAATTAATCCTACCCCTTTTATCTTCAGGCAAACTCAGGAAACATTAGAAAAGGTTACAGCTCCTTAAGACTTTTTATTTAACGGTACATTTCTTTTATTTTTTTATTTTTTATTTTTATTAAACAACATATATCTGATGCTAGAATCTAGATACATGAAAGTTCTCCCTGACCCATATACTCCCCATGACACAGAGTGACCCTACATAGGGTTTCCGAGGCTGTAAATCTTTACCAGAGCAGAAAAACTCATCTTTCTTCTGCAGAATGACTGGTAGTTTTGAACTGTTGACCTTGAGGCTAGCAACCTGACTTGTAACCAGTATGCTACTGTTATATATGCATATAGGTATTGCATTTATTTCTTTATTTAGCCCTTCAACTCTTCAACTCAGTTTCCTAGTTTATAATTTTATGTTTTAATTTTTTAGAAATTCCCTTATTTGGTTAGGCAGTTTTCAGAGGTTATTATATACAGGGTGTATGTTAGTTTATTTTTTATAAGTTTCACAACTATTGCAGCTTATACTTATGAATACTGTCTCTGCAAACTTGTTAACAGGAAAGATATGTGTGAGGTGGTTGTGCATGAATGATGCAGATAGTACAAAGTTTTTCCCCTACTTCTCTATCACAGAGTTGCTTCAATAAAAACTAACCAAGATTACTTCCTCCACTGTATTCTTTCTAGAATATGGTAACCATCTGTATTTATATCCAACAGATTTTGCCAAGAAATCTTGCCCTTCCCTTTGTTGAAGTCTCCAGGAACTTGGGGCTCCCTCCTATCCTGCTGCACTCAGACTTGGTGCTGACAAACTGGACTAAGCGAAATCCAGAAGGGTACGAAAGGAAAGAGTACTTTGAGTCTAAATTGACTGAAATCCTTTTGCTCTTGTTGTTTTAAGTGGTCTGCTAACCTCAAAATTGGCGATTCAATTCCACTAGCAGCTCCTCAGAAGTCCTGTTCAGGGTTGCTATGGATCAGAACTGACTGGAGAGCACTTAACAACAACATAATTATTGATTATGACATTTGACTAATTCTGCTACAGTAACAAAATCAGTGACCACTATTTCCACGTACTTTAGGATTAGCACTGGACTGTGAACCACAAGGTTGTCAGTTCAAACCCACCAACTGCTCCTCAGAAATCCTACATAGGGTCTCTATGAGTCAGACCAGACTTGATGGCACTTAAAACAACAACAACATTTCCATGAGAAGAGCCCTGTTATGGGATTTTAGGATAAGCACTTGACTACTAACCACAAGGTCAGTGGTTCAAACCTATCAGCTGTCCCTTGGAAACTCTGCACAAGGTCACTATGAGTCAGAACTGACTCGATGGCATTTAACAACAACATTTCTGTGAGAAGCTACTGAATCTGGCTCAGAATTTAGATGTTAAGAAATAATGAATGATTATGCAATTCATGAATGATTCTGGTCAAGGTTTTGAATATTGAATAAATGGATTTCTGGCTCAAAAAGAAAATAGGACACAGGAAGTTTGAAAAGAAAAATAGCTGGAGTGGGAGGATAAAGTAAATAACTACAAAAAAAGCTATTTTTCTAGTAAAGGATTGTTGTTGTTGTTGTTGTTGTTGTTGTTTATTGTTTAGTACCTGCAAGTCGATTCTGACTCACAGCAACCCTGTATAGGATTTCTGAGGAGTGGCTGGTGAATTTAAACCACCAACCTTGTGGTTCAAACCAACCTTGTGATCCAGTGCATTATCCCACAATTCTACATTAAGACTCCAAAACAAAAACCTACTGCTTCTAAGTTAATTCTTACTCATAGTGACCCAACAGGACAGAGGAGAGCTGCTTAATAAGGTTTTGATGGCTGTATATCTTTATGGAAGCAGATTGCCACATCTTTCTCATGCAGTGCAGCTGGTATTTTTGGTCTTTTGGTCAGCAGCTGAGTGTTAGCCACTGTATTGCCAGGGGCTTCTGGGCTAGTTTATTCCCAAAAGTATATATACAAAGGCCTGGTTCTCATCAGATGCCCTTCTTAGGCAATATATATATATATAGTATTTAATATGTATAGCACAGAGTTAAGTGAAATGAAGATGTGAAAGAAACAGAAGCAAAGTATAACCAATATGGCTAAGTAACAAGACAACAGTACATGACAAATGTCAAAGAGTGGCACAAACAATAAGTCCTTTAAGATTTCAGAGAAATTACATGAATGCAGACTTTAAATGTCAAGCAAAAGCTTGATGAGGGAGTGGAACTTATTTTTAGGAAAAGTTCTGAAAGATGAGTAGGAGTATAGTAGTTGTAATATCGAATGTGGGAGCAATCCCAAAAAGAAAAAAGGCCAAGTGTTCTAGGGCTGACATATGAGCTGAGGTTTGACTCACTCACTGGGTAAGTAATGTGTTTGACTGATAACTGAAAAGTCAGAGGTAGTCTACTCAGAGGCACCTCTAAAGAAAAACCTGGTGATCCACTTTGGAAAGATCAGTCATTGAAAATGCTATGAAATGCATTTCTACTCTGACACACCATTGTTGTTGTTAAGTGCAATGGAGTCAGTACCCATTGATAGTGACCAAGGATTTCCAAGGAATGACTGGTGAGTTTGAAGCTCCAACCTTGTGGTTCAAACCAACCTTGTGATCAAGTGCTTATCTTATCACACCACATCGTTGACATAAATTGGCATAAGCTGCTTTGTTGTTGTTATGTGCTGTGGAGTCGGTTCCGACTCATAGCGACCCTGTACAGGGTTTCCGAGGCTGGAAATCTTTACAGGAGCAGAAAGCCTCATCTTTCTCCCACCGAACAGCTGGTAGTTTCGAACTGCTGACCTTGTGGCTCACAGCCCGATTCGTTACCACTACACTACCAGAGCTCTTAAGCTGTTACATATTGGAATTGACTTGACAACAACTTTTTTTTCTTTTTTAATTATGCAGTGGCCCATAGCCTAGCCACTATGTGTGAATTATGAACTAACTGTATGTAAATGATAAGTGGAGTTAGTGTTTATGCGTATGCTCATGAATGTGCATAGCACATGAGTGTGCATGCCTAAATACATGTAACCCTGGAAGGCATATCTGGTTTACCAATTGAATTGTTCTTTTGTTTTCTTTTTCTCTTTGTGGCTGCTGATAACTGAAAATTGTCTAGTCCCCTGGAAATCAGGTAAATACTCAGAAATCCTTTCTCACGTTGGAAGCCAAATTTTCATTAAAAGTTTGCCAAAAAAAAAAGGAAAGCATACCAACTTTTGTCTACAATAGATATACATTTTAAAAATGCATGAAAAAAAGAAGACTGGAAGAAAGTGCCAAAATTACCCATCCAAATTAATAATGTTACCTTTTTCTGATAGATATTAAGGAAATAAAGATCACCAGTTCTCCGTGATTTTTTGAAGTCCAATAGTCTGAAAAGGATCTCTCTTCTCACCATAACTTTTCTAAAGTTCAACTAGCAAACAGTGGTTCTTTAGCTACAGGAAATTCCTTTTGACATATCCTGTTAACACAGAGATCTGTTTGTCTTGTAGGGCAGGTTAAAGCCAGATGATTTTTAGCTCCACTTTCCCTAGAGAACAAAGTTAGCCTCTAAATGGACATTGACTTTCTCTTTATAAAACATTAATCTTATAAAAGGGTTCAGGAGAAGGAGGGATGAAGTGGGGGGCAGTAATCTACTCCTGATGAAAAGTAATTCTGGTGGAACACTCTGGTGATAATCCTAACTTACTTTCATTTTTTGTTGCTGTTGTTTATCCATTCTTATCATACTTAAAATATTAGAGACAGAGTGATCCATAGAGCTAAGAGTTTAAATTTTGTGGACTTGATCGAGATCTGGACTATTTGAATCCACATGTTATCTGCAAGTCTTTCAGCTCTCACTTTATTATACAGCATTTCATTAAAATTGACCTGGATTCAAAAAGTACTGACATGAACTATGAAACTTTATACCAGCCTTGGCTCTAACGAGCTGCATGACCTTAGGTAAACTGCTGGTCTTCTCTGAGTCATAGTTTCTCTTATGAAAAACAGCATGTAAAATTTGCTGTTGCTTACAAGTCCGTGTAGTTCCTGACAAGAATATTGTGATGTGCTCTTAGAATTGACCCCAAAAGAACTAGCTATACATGTTGGAAAGAATGGTTTCATACTGCAGCTGGCCAGCCCACTGTGGAAAGCACCTTGGAAAGCATCAGGGCAACACTACAGATTCCTTAAGACACGAATTTGTGTTAAATTGATTTAATCTCTTTCATCCAATATAAAAGTATATATTCATCTTCAGGGTTGTCTTATGGAGAGGAACTATTGGACAGATTTTGATCTTGCAGTTGCCCAACTTCATGGACAACTAACAGGCTCAAAACCTCTAACCAGATCCTCATTTCCTTCTCAAGGAACCTCGATATCATCATTGCATTTCCTGGGGGAGAAAGCCTGCGTGGTTTTATTCTGGTGACTCTTTTAGTGGAGAAAGCAGCCGTACCTGGGATTAAGGTATCTCCCCATTCCACAACATTTTTATTTTTATTTTTTAATAAGAAATCTGTTGAGGACCTCCTACAAGTCTGTTTCTCTGAACTAGAGTTTTTGATACAGGTGGAAAAATACAATAGAGACTTTATTGCAACTCAGAAAAAAGAAACTAGATTCTATCCCATAATAAGAATTCTCTCTTCCTAACTTCAGTAAAACTTGGAATTGACCATTTGTCTATTGAAAAATAAGGATTTTTTTTTTTTTTAAGTTAGTTAGGCAATGGAACTATAAGGATGAACAAGATGGACACTGTCCTGATCCTCACAGAAGCTCATGATCCTGTGTAGATAGATGTATTTTCATATTGATAATTAAAAATAGAAAGCACTGTTTCACAAAGGCACACCTAAAACTTTATCCAAGTTTGGAGGGTAAAGGAAAACTACCCAAAGGAAATTAAGAGAAACTAAAACCTAATTGTTGTATAGGAATTAGGTCTATATAGAGCAAGGGAAAGTGATTAGAGGAATGAGATGGGAAAGGGAGAAGGAAGAAGAGGAAGATGAGAGAAAAGATACATACTCCAGGTAATGAGAACTGCTATGCATGTGGTGCTGTGTGCTAATTCACCAGACTTCACAGCTGCTTGAACTGCAATGTTGGCCATTCAAGCTTACCAGATGCTCCTCAGAAACCTTATACAGGGTTACTATGGGTCAGAATCGACTCCACGGCACTTCACAACAACAGCAAAGCTAGAATGCATCATTGAGATTATCTAGACCTGGAGTGTTGGTAATTCCCTCAGGGAACAGAGCAGTAACAGAAATTCACTGCCATAGAGTCTATTCTAACTCAAAGTGACCCTATACACACAGTAGAACTGCTCTTTTGGGTTTCTGAGACTGTAAATCTTTATGGGAGCAGATAACCTCATCTTTCTCCCTAGGAGCTGCTGTTGGGTTCAAACTGCTTACCTTTTGATTCGCAGCCCAATATATAATCCACTATATTACCAGGGCTCCTAGGTAACAGGAGGACCAGGTACAAAGCAAAAAACAAGGAAAGGGCATGTGATCAGTCAGAGACTTCATAACTTATTGTTTAAATTAGATTTATACTTTTCCTCACTACTTTCCCTACCACACAATTTTGAGCGATTACTGTGTTCTCAACAGGATGATGTGCCCTGACATTATCATTAACAGTGAAACTACGGGTCACTTTAGTCCTCATCCATGTGTGATGTACACTGAAAGACACCAAACAAAATATTGCCCTTCCAAAGATAGTTAAGAAAAGAGATGTTAAGAGACAAGGAAGACTACTTGGAGAATGGCTCATTTGAGCTGGATACTAAACAATCTCTCTGTAAGACAAAGCTCAGGAGCGTGGGAATCCTCATTGAAGAACCAAAAGTAGAAATGCTTATAATGTAGGCTAGATGGAGAAGAACACAGGAACAAATAAGAGTTTAGGCTCCAAGAGGAGAAAAAAGTGACAGTCAATGGAAAAATCCAAAACAACCTTGCCAGGGATTTATCTAGGAGGTGCTCAGAGAGATGAGTTCTGATTGTTAAATCCCACTGCAGATCTAGTTTAGAGGTGCTCCTGGGAGCTCTGACAAATAACCTGGAAGTCAGTGCCCCTTTAGTGAGTCCCCACAGCTCTGGAGCATATTCTACCTTAGTGGGCTTTGCATGAATGCAAATGTATTAAGTAAATGAATCTCACCCTCAGGCACTTGTTCAGTCAGTGAATGCCATCCTACAATCCAGCCAAGATTCCCTGCTCCAAGCCTTGCAGCAGCTGAGACTCTCCATTCAGGATATCACCAAAAGCTTGAAACAAATGCACGGTACTATTCTCCCTGTGGGGTCCTGGTTTGGTGAGTAGGATAAGCACTGGACTGCTAACCACAAAGTCAGTGATTCAAACCCACCATCTGCTACTCAGAAACTCTACACAGGGTGGCTATGAGTCAGAACTAACGTGACAGTACTTAGCAATGACAACATGCTTCATGTAGGAGTCCTGGTGTGGTACTGTAGGAAAAGCACTGCATTGCTAACCACAAGGTCAGAAATTCAAACCCACCCCTCGGAAACCATTCAGGATCACTTTAAGCAGAACAGACTCAATGGCACTTAACAACCATAGCAACAAATGTCTCTGTACTTGCTAAAGACCTGGTCTTGGGAACATCTTAATTGAGTGATGATACTTTTATCCAGTTGTTGTTGTTAAGTGCCATCGAGTCAGTTCCGACCCATAGCGACCCTGTAAAGGGTTTCCAAGGCTGTAAATCTTTACGGGAGCAGAATGCCTCATCTTTCTCCTGCGGAGCGGCTGGTAGTTTTGAACTGCTGACCTTAAGGTTCGCACCCCAATTCGTAACCACTACACTACCAGAGCTCCTTTATGCAGTAGGTGGTGCCAATACATTACTTTAGTTTTAAAGTAAAATAATTGGCTTTCACGGAATGATTTCTCACTTTGCAGAGATATTTTCATGTTTTTGTCTTTCTTTGAATTTTCTTGTGGTTAAGATAGTTTACTTTTTTCCCTCTTATTTGTTGTTAACTATTTCTTTGGCATGTTGAGGTCTTGCATGAAACTTGGAAGAAGCTTCACATGAGCATGGGTTGTTCATTGTTCATCTAGAAGCCTCATTCAGATTGGTGATGGTGGGGCTTGTCTATAAACTCTCAAATGCTCCTTTTTTTCTTTTTTTCTCTTGAATATTGAAATGGCCCACCTTGGTTTTAGGTCTTATCTAGTGAATCTTCTAGTGCTTTTCTTTTGAGGCCAGCGCAAGATAACTGGTTATTGCTGTGGTCAGGTAAGAAGCCTACACTGACTGACTCTGGCTGGTTATATTTTCGTCTGCTGACCATATTCCATCTCCAGTGCCTGAGAGGTTCTTCAATTTCCTGTAATGTGAAACAAGCACTAAGTGTTCATTCAGGATGGGTGTAAGAGAACAGTGTGTTCTGTTAGCAAAGGGAAAGCATTTAAGTATCAGTTTCCCTGAGCGCTGTTTCTCAAAAAGAAGGAGAGTTCTTAGAAAAGATAGTGTTTATAAGAAACGAGATAGGCGAAAGGGTGAAATAAATCAGTAGATCCTGATCTTTATTTCTTTTTACTTAAATAGTAAATATATTTGTCATCCCAGAGACTCTGTACTAGTATAAATCCATCCAAAGTCATACAAGTTTCTTATTTTCATTCAACTTCCCTGTTTTACAATTTTTTATGTGCATATTTTCCATTTCCCTGACCTTTATTTTTTAAGACCTTTTGATATCATCAGTAAGGAACTGTGGTAGTACTGTAGGATAAATAGACTACTAACCATAAGGTTAACAGTTCAAACCCACCAGCCACTCCATGATAGAAAGACGAAGCTCTCTGAACCATTAAACACGTACAGACTCAGAAACCCTATATAGGGCTGCTATGCATTGGAATCGACTTGATGGCAGTGGGATTAGGAGGAGGTAAATTTCCTGTCAAACAAGTGCTCCCCAAACTTAGTGAAACATATTTAGCTTTGCCCAAATGCCCTGATTTCATTATTCAGGATTTCAAGATCATTAAAGAAATTGCCCAGGTGACTTCAGACCACATGAATGAGGAGTGGGTAATTTGGAAAGGCCTTTCCACCAGTCCACACACATATCATAGTAAGATGGCATGCCAGTGTCTGACTACCACAGACAACGTTCAGAGTCACTTCTTAGGGCCAGGCAAACCCTCTTATACTCTGAAGACTAATCTCTGAATCAGGTGTGGTGATCTGAGGTTGTTTAACACTCACTTGCTTTCATTTATCCCCTTTATACCTGGTTACAGAGTGTGACAATTATTCCAGAGTTAACTTGCTTATTTCTCCCAAAGCCAAAATTACCCATATAGACATAATTTGTTTGAAAGATTTTAGTACTAGCCAATACAGGGAAATTGATGAATGTATCAGACTGTGTTTTCCAAAGATCTCTAAATTCCCTTACGTAGATTAAGCAGTTTGTACTTAAACTCACACACAGCAGTGTTGTGGGGAATAAAAAGGCCTGCCTGGTAATCTACTTCTGCCAAGATTACAGTTTTGAAAACCCACTGGCTCTTGTCCAAATTCCTGACCCAGAGGATCCAGGAACATAACAAAGTGATCAGTTATGTAACTAGATTTTGAGTGGTTTCTTTTGCAGTAATAGCAACCAGGCAGATATAATTACATTAATAAGAATAAATATGAAAGACTGTGAGGTTTAAGGAACCAAACACACTTTTAGGAACTGTCTCTAATTTACAGTTTTTAACTCTCTTCTGAATAAGTGGAATGATGGATGAAGGATTTCTTCCCCTGATTCAATAATGCATGTTAACAAACATTTGCTTTTCTCTGAAACCATGTTTAGCAAGAGTCAGACACTTGACTTTTGCCACCATAAGTACCTGTTCTCCAGACATGGAGGCCTGAAGACATGCTCAAGGTAGTATAAACAATGTCCTTTGTTCTAAGGCTGGAATGGGCATTTCTGAGGATCACCATACTGTGACCTAAGTCACGAGCCCTTTACCCAGTACACACGTAATTTCTACAACTTACATAGTTCTCACTACTGATTCCAAAATAAAACCAGATTGGAGGGGCAAGGCAAGAAGAGAAGTGAACAGACACTCCTAGTTACTTCCTCAGCAATTTACACCACACACTGAACTAGGAAAAATAAAAGTCCAGACTGAGCTCTTAGAACTCCAGAAAGCAGCTGCTGTTTTAGAGAATCAGGGAAAGTTCAGAAGAGAGGGAGAAAGAAGAGGAGCAAGGAGCCCATGGATCTACCAGCTAACATCTGGAATACTGTGACCTTTGGGGGTTAGGTCTCTATCTCTATCTCTATTTTTTTTTTTTTTTTTTAAGGGGATATAAATTAGTCATAGGAGTGTGTGGACAATTCAATAAGGAGGGGCTGAAGGGAAAGTGTGGCGCTGAGCCAGAGTGCTGTAAATTATGGAGGAAGATGAAGGGCAGCAGGGCGTGGGGAAAACTTTAGACTGACTGGGATAAAAGAAACAGCCCATACTATGACAAAATGGAGTGTCTGTGAAGGGGTATAGGTATAGGATAGACAGAAAGGCCCAAAACATACTTACAGAGAAGTTGTACCTCTTTGCTCATAGCAGCTTCTCCTCATGACTATACCTCCCAACATCCCCACTTGTGTATTGAGTTCCAGAGAACAGAGAATATACACAGAGAACATCTGAAACAGTATGAGGAGAAAAACAGTAAAACCAAAACAAACAGGAAACACAACCAAACAACTAAGGATAGAGTGCCATCTAGTGGTTCTCAGAAGAAGCTATCGATTCTACTGTCACTAGGTCTTTCTGACTGAGAAACTGCAGGACTGAGGGAAATTGCCCAGTGGGGTTCCCAGTAGTGAGTCTTTGCAGAAGTCTGCTGTATGTTTCTCCTATGAACTGGCTGGCAGGTACAGACCGTGGTCTTTCTCTAAGCAGCTCATAAAATGGCCCACATTCAACATGACTTTACAAGAGAAGAAGGAATAATCAAAAACAAAATTTGAAGAAAAGGAAATTTATTCTATGGTAACCAGAATATTGCAAATCATTTATAATTTTCAGGTTATAGTTATAAATATGTTTAAAGAAAGTAAAAGACACACAGAGAACAAACGTGGAGTTCAGGAAACAAATGAAGGAACAAATTGAGAGACATAACAAAGAAATTGATACTATCAAAAAGAACCACAGAGAACTTCTGGACCTGAAGAATAAAACGTATGCATTAAAAAGAGAGAGAGGGGAAAAAAACAAACAGAATCTAACAGACAGAAGAGAGAATAAGTAAACTACAAGACAAAACAGTTTAAATTAATCAAGACTTTAAACAGAAATAGAAAAAAGAACAAAGAAAAGCAAACAACCCAAAAAGAATAGTGGGTTTTAATTAAAATCTCTAACATTAGAATTACTGGAATTCTAAAGCATCATGACAATAATAAAGCCACAATAATAAAGGAATAATTTTCCCAGATTTCAACAGAGAGAATTTCCCAGACCTGAACAGAGAACCAAGCCAGCAAATACAGGAAACTGCATGAATGCCAATCAGAAGAGACACACAAAAAAGACTCATCTCACAACATATTCTAATACAATTCTTGAAAACCAAAGACAAGGAGAGAATTCTAAAAGCAGCAAGAGAAAATACATACGCAGTATAACATATTCAGAGTTTTCCATATGAATAAGTGCAGTTTTCTCCCAGACACTCTAGAGGTCAGAAGACAAAGCTGTTGCTGTTAGGTGCTATAAGTTCTGACTTATAGTGACCCTATGTTAAACAGAATGAAACACTATGTGATCCTGCTTCATCCTCAGGATCATTGTTATGTTTAAGCCTCTTGTCACAGCCACTGTGTTAGTCCTTATTGATGAGGGCCTCCCTTTTTTATGCTAAGTCTCTACCTTGCCAATCATGACCTCTTTCTTCAGGGACTGGTCCTTTGCGGGAGTCCAGCTCTTGCAGGGTCTCGGGACAAGAGAGGAGACAAGAGAGGAGTTGGTGAAAATGAAAGCAATCAAGAGCCTTTGTTTTGTTAGCTGAAGTGGGCTCTCTTTCTCTGTCTACTTGTTCTTCTTCTGCCCCTTCTCTTCTGGCCCAGCTCAGCAAGTCTTTATTTTTTATACTTAAAATTACACAGTACATAATGATTTGATACTTTGATTTTTCCTCTGAATTATTACACAGTTTCAATCACAACATTCCTTTTACTCTGTGATTATACAACCTTAACAAAAGTATTTCTGTGATGTCCAAACTGACCT